GCTGACGTTTGTTTAATAAATAAGGACTGTGTCATCTGTAGATAAGAGAGAAGAGACTCCACCCCCACATCCCCAGTCGGGGTGGCAGTGACGCACAGAGGGAACTTCAAGGAGACAGGAGGCTCTAACATTCACCCTTAACCTGGGTGTCAGGACTTTGCGGGAATCGGTATTCAGATCCTCAAATTCACGTTCAGTCTCCCTCAAAGCTGGTTTTGCTGAAATCAAGACGAACTTCTCTTTCAAAAAGTCCCTTCTCCCCTCACAAGAGAAAGGCATACCTTTCATCGTCCAGAATCCTACTGTCGCACGTTCCTCCAAGATTTAAGCCTCTCAAGTGGCCAAACAGTTCAGAATAGATGATGCAATGGTCCCTTCCTTACTACAAGCACCACAAAGCCAATCCACGAGTCTAATTAAGTGGGGGCTTGAGTCAACTCTTATCTCTAGCTGACGTTTGTTTAATAAATAAGGACTGTGTCATCTGTAGGAAAGAGAGAAGAGACTCCACCCCGACACCCCCAGTCAGGGTGGCAGTGACGCACAGAGGGAACTTCAAGGAGACAGGAGGCTCTAACATTCACCCTTAACCTGGGTGTCAGGGCTTTTCGGGAATCGATATTCAGATCCTCAAATTCACGTTCAGTCTCCCTCAAAGCTGGTCTTGCTGAAATCAAGACGAACTTCTCTTTCAAAAAGTCCCTTCTCCCCCTCACAAGAGAAAGGCATACCTTTCACAGTCCAAAATCCTACCGTAGCACGTCCCTCCAAGATTTAAGCCTCTAAAGTGGCCAAACAGTTCAGAATAGATGATGTAATGGTCCCTTCCTTAGTACAAGCACCACAAAGCCAATCCACGGGTCTAATTAAGTGGGGGCTTGAGTCAACTCTTACCTCCTATGTTTAATAATTATTTGTTGTTTTAATCAGTTGTGCACTAGAAATCTAAAAATCCAGAGAGGAACCTGTTAGAAGAATTTGATTTCTCTTTCTTGCAGTGTGCGTGTGTGTGTGTATAAGTACACACACAGTTTTTAAAGCTTAATAAATTCTGTGGGGAAAGCAATTTAAATGACAATTTCAAGGAGAAAAACAAGCTATGTAAAACTTGTGAAGGTCAAAGAAGAGCTTGCTCGTGTATTTTTAAACTGAGTGACAGAATGTCACTCCCAGAGAGGAACCTGTTAGAAGAATTTCTCTTTCTTGCACTGTGTGTGTGCGCGTGTGTGTGTGTGTGTGTGTGTGTGTATAAGTACACACACAGTTTTTAAAGCTTAATAAATTCTGTGGGAAAGCAATTTAAATGACAATTTCAAGGAGAAAAACAAGCTATGTAAAATTTGTGAAGGTCAAAGAAGAGCTTGCTCGTGTATTGTTAAACTCAGTGACAGAATGTCACTCCCTGTGATATTTATATTTCATTGGATGTGATTAAAGAGGGATGTGACTGCTCTATTTTTAAATGTCATGTACAAATACACCAGACCTGAAACCCTTTGCAGCTACTGAGGTGTGAGATGCAATTAGATATACTTTTTTTTTGCAAGACAAACAGCTCTCCTCCTGCAGGAGGGCGTGCACACACACGGTCTGGGAGCACACACCTACACTGGATGTACTTGAGGTTCGGTCTCTGACTAAACAGCAAAGGCTCACAGATTCTAAGTTGTGTGAAGGGAGACAGCGCGAATAATCGTGCAGTTCCGGAAGAATGCCACCTGGAGGCCTGTGCTAAGGGACTGGCAGGAAGTTCAAAGGGGATGGACGTCCTTCTGCCTCGGGCTGTTCAGTCCACCTTGGCGAGTGAGCGGACGTCAGCACATCTCTCTCAGCCTCGGAGACCGTGTGCCATGTGCTGGGCCTCCAGACATCACGTGACCCCTCAGGGACTAAGGCGGCTGGCTTGCTGGTGATGGTCAGCACGTCGAGGTGAGGTACCACCACCTTTCCTGGTCCATCACTTCGGTTCTGTCTCTCCCATGAAGGAAGTGCATTTTAATTCTATTTGGACTCTCAGTGTTTCCAAGGACTCACCCTCTGCTAGCACAGAGCTGGCTCGGAACGGGCCTCCGGACTTCTTACCAAGAAGGTCCAAGCCTTAGCAGCTGTAAGGCTTTCTTGATTGGTGTCTACAAACAAACGCTTTCCTGGAGACTTTTAACAATTCAAACAGGGAGATGACCCCTGCTTTAGTCACAATCCACTCACCATTCTGTGCGTGTTCTCCCAGGAAACCCCACTTCCTAGTGGGAAGGCATTAAAACGCGCAAGTGCATTCACAGAGCAAATATCTAAATGATTCTCATTTAAATACTATTTGATGGGAAAGTGTGGATTATGCACTAGAAGGTGATTATCCAATTTGTTATATAGGAACATTAAATTACTCTTTTACTTACTAAGGGACTTTATTAAAAAAACAATTACAAAGTAAAATATTCTTTCAATGCTCTTCCTGATCATTGTTACAGAAACACTATGGAAAATTGCTGCAGATGTTCATTAGTGTTCATTAATCTGGACTATTTCTCACTTCAGTTCACCATTTGAGTTGAACGCAGAATGGACTAAGTGATGGTAAGTAAAAAGCAATGACAAACCTAGATGGAAGTGAAAATGCATGATGGGTGTGCATAGGGACTTCTTCCTTCCTTAACTGTGGCTCCAACACATGTGAGGATCAAACTTGGCCTTTCCCTGCATATTTCAAACATACTATGAGATTTCCTGGATCGTGTCTACAGAAAAACTGAAGTATGGCCCTAGCCAGTGTGGCTCAGTGGTTGGGCGTCATCCTGTGCACGTAGAGGTCGCAGTTCCATTCCCAGTCAGGACACAAGCCCAGGTTGCCAGCTCGATCCCCGGTGGAGGGCGTGCTGGAGGCAGCTGACTGATGTTTCACTCTCACACCGATGTTTCTCTCTCTCTCTCTCCCTCTCCCTTCCTCTCTTTCTAATAATCAATTTTTTTTTTTTTAGAAAAGGAAGAAAAAATGCATGATGGGTGTGCATAGGGACTTCTTCCTTCCTTAACTGTGGCTCCAACACATGTGAGGATCAAACTTGGCCTTTCCCTGCATATTTCAAACATACTATGAGATTTCCTGGATCGTGTCTACAGAAAAACTGAAGTATGGCCCTAGCCAGTGTGGCTCAGTGGTTGGGCGTCATCCTGTGCACATAGAGGTCACGGTTCCATTCCCAGTCAGGGGACAAGCCCAGGTTGCCAGCTCGATCCCTGGTGGAGGGCGTGCAGGAGGCAGCTGACTGATGTTTCACTCTCACATCCATGTTTCTCTCTCTCTCCCTCTCCCTTCCTCTTTTTCTAATAATATTTTATTTTTTTTTTAGAAAAGGAAGAAAAAAAGGAAAACTAAAGTATGAACAATAAAACAGTCTCAAACAGCAATGTTCTTTAATGGCTGATTACCTGGGAAGGTAATGGAAGAACAATAATATATATATATATTCATCTTCAAATGGAGGAAGGAGTGTTAGAAATGTGTGAGAAAGGAAACAAAAGAAATCACTGCCCAAGTGCATGTGGGCATCTGAGGGAGGCTCATCCTTCCTGCCTCTATGGCCTACACTTTCAAAGCTGGAAATCCACGTCACATGCCAATTGCGGACACTGAACATGTGATCACCAATAATGCACTCACTGGCCAGCGGGCAACTGGAATTGTAACTAGGTCCAAAACTGAGCAGTAACTCAAAGTAATATCTGAGTAACAGAAAACAAACTTTGAATTAAAACATCAGAAAAATAATTTTTAATTTTAATTAAAATAGAAATAATGTAGTCCTGGCTAGCATGGCTCAGTGGTTAGAGCATCGGCCTACGCACCAAAGGGTGGAGGGCTTGTTTCTGGTCAAAGGCATGTACCTGGGTTGATGGTTCGATCCCTGACCCTGGTCGGAGCTCATGCTGGAGGCAACCAATCCATGTGTCTCTCTCACATCCATGTTTCTCTCTCTCCCTACTCGTTCACTTTTTGATTTGACATATGAGTAATTTGAGTTACGAGCTCCGTCACGGAACGAATTAAACTCATAAGTCAAGGCCCCACCTTTTAAAAATGAAAAAAAATATATCCAGCATAGAACAACTAGTTAAATGTACACACACAGATGTATAAAAAAGGGTACAGCTTAAAATCCAAACCACTATTCATAACCCACTACGAGCTGGGCAGTGTGTGCGCATTAGCTGAAACGTCCCAGCTCTCTACACGGAATACATTCCAGATATTTGCACACTCATTACACATGCACAAAGCCTCAAACCCCTGCATGGCTGGGGGAGGCCACAGGAGGGGACCTGCCTCTCCGTGTCCGCTCTCACAGTGGGCACAAGCGTCCTCCTTCCAGCTGGTGAGGGCCGTGTGATCGCTGGGACTGGGGCTGAGCGGAGCCTGGGAGCCCGTGGACGCTCCCGTGGATGCTCCCACACACGCACACGCACATGCACACAGTCCCTGCGCTCAGGAGAGCTAGGCACCAGCGTGGGCCATCGAGTCAGTGAACACGTCGACAGAGACAGCACAGGGAAGGCAAAGACAAGAGGCAGCTGGAGACGGCCCAGGCTGGCCATCTGCAAGCCCAGGAGCCGGACGAAGGCCTTAGTTCAGAAGCACAGAGCTTGCTGTCCGTGAGTTTACAGAGCGTCACTGCCCTGTACACTGAGAGCCACTCACTCCCACTAACTCCACAGCCTCTCACGGCGACCGCACGAGACAGACACCACGCAGGATGGGCTAGCTTAGCCCCTGCTGGCAGAGCAGTATATGGAGTCAAGAGTTATTACACGACTAGAGGCCCAGCGCACGAAATTCATGCACAGGTAGGGTCTCTAGTGGCTGCCGGCTGCTGGCCGGGGCCTCCCTTCCCCAGCTGCCGGCTGGGGCCTTCCTTCGTTCTGCGCTCCTGGTGGTCAGCGCACGTCATAGCGAGCGATTGAACTGGTGGCCGGTTGGTTGAACTCCCAAGGAGACACTTTGCATATTAGGCTTTTATATATAGAGAGAGATTTGCTATTAAATAACAGCTACATGTGTATGTGACATACTGTATGTCTCTTGTGAGAAGACAGAAAATTTTAAACACTCTACTTAGTATTCTTTACAATTCTGAATGAGATCATGTAAATTAATTTTCAAGAAATAACTCACTGGAGCTAGGCTTTAAAGACTCAGAAGTGTCCCTGAAGTACCAGCCGAGCAATCGGGCTCCCTTACCTGTAGCCGAGCTGCCGGCAGGTCACAGCCGCGTCCCGATCAGTCCAGCCGTCGTCACAGATGGTTCCCCACTGGCCCCGGAGGAAAACCTCCACGCGCCCCTCTCTCTCATTTTCTCCGTCCACCAGTCTGATGGGGAAACCTAGGGCATGATCCGAAAGTATTAGGAAACCAAACACGCAAGTGGAACAGCCGCAGGAGACTTCCCCAAACATAACTTGTTCTCTCTCTCTTTTTTTTAAATGTATTTCTGTATTGGTTTCAGAGAGGAAGAGAGAAGGAGAGAGAGATAGAAACATCAATGATGAGAGAGAATCAT